CATTTGAAAGAAAAAAATATTTACGTTACTATTCTATAAACGGGTGCTTAAAAAAAAATAAAGCTGAAAACTGAATTTATGACCAACCCTAGATTCTGAGTACTCAGAATACCACTGTGTGCCCCCAAGGAGCTGTCAAATCTGGTCTGGACTACTGGAAAATCCTACAAATGGCTTCCCAGTCTCTTCCCAAGCAATGGCCATCAGGTCCCAATACATCCTACTACACTATGTAAAGATAAAAGGCAATGCCACAAGTAACATGTGCGAATACCTGATGTGCTGATCAGAGTGTGTGGATATTGTAGGCTATTTACAATGATAAATGCATTTCAGTCCTTATGCTCACATAGCTCAGGGTCCGCCAAATAATTCTCAAGCAACTCCTGAGCCACTCAGGAGACACACACACATAAACAAGACTGTATGTCTAACACAGGTTCATTCAGTTACAGAGGAGACAAAAATCAAATATCACAACTGTCCTGAAAACAGCTTAAGAAAATAAAAACCTTCACAATATCATCTACCTGGATCTCAAAAGCTTGTTTACTTACAGACACCAAGTGAAAACTTATGCTTTGTTTGGTTCTTAAGTTTGTCTGACTCCAGCGTTCAGAATCTTACTTTTTCTATCAAGCAGCTGTCTGTTATTTATTTTTAATCACTCAGCACAATTATTCTAAATACTGCTAGCTCCTTTGAATAATCTAAATAAATACTTGGAAAAGAGACGACATTAGAGCAATTGAACTTGGTGAACTTTAAATGTTCCTATTAAATCAGAAATATTTCTATGCTAGTGCTTCTCAAAAGGTCACTACAGACCCCTAGATGTCCTCGAGACACACTGTTGGGCCTCACAAGCTCAGAATTAAGCTCCTAATAACACTAAGACGTTCTTTACCTAGTGACTGACATCTCCACTAACAGTATACAAACAACGATGGGTAAAATTGCCAATGGCCTTAGCAGGAATCAAAGTAGTGGTGCTAATACATAAAAGTAATTATAATCTTTATCACCCTAAGCTCATTGTAAAGAAGAGGGGGAAAAGTTCATTTCCCTGAAGAATGGCACCAAAGAAGCAATAAGTTATTCATTTATTTGTATCTCAACCAATGAGTACAGTTTTCCAGCATGCTGTGTGACGTGTGTTGCAAAATGGCAAGCACACAGGAAGCACCTGTGCTGTATACTGAAGTACAACTGAACTGTAAGCTGCACTGGCTGCTTTTTTTAGGTGGCAATATTTTCATTTGGAAACACAACTGACAAACCAATTATTCAGACTTAGGTGTTTGGCAGACACCTTCTGGAAACAGAAGCATGTTTCCAACTGCTCCCCAACACTTCCTTACTTTTCTAATGCCACTGTGGTGGTGGTGTTGACAAATGTGAATTCTGAATCTACTAAACATGCCACCATTTGGAAGAATCTGTCTTAACCAACAGACATAGCCTAAATGACCAATGAATGTCACAAATTTAGACATGAGTGAACATTTGTTGGAGGATAAACCAACAGATTCTAATACATCAAAACAAACACTATTTGATGCAGGTTCCAGAAGCCACTATGTAACTGACCTTAAGGACCCAACTCCTGTGAGTGTTGGAGTAGCACCAAAGAACATTCACGATTCCTGAGAAAATCATTACAATATTTACAACCTGGCATAAGCCTGATTTCGGCCATGTTTCACCTCAAGGATCCTGAATGCAGAAACAAGAGAATCTCTCTTCTATTATGCAGACTTAAAAATTATTTTAGAAAATGGCAAATGATGTCATAATCCTTTTGTCATTATAGTTGTTTTACATGAAACATCATTTATGTTAACATGTAATAGACTTAGAAACTCCCAGTTGTAATTTTTAACACTTATTTTTTAAAATAAAGGGGTCCTGAAACCAAAGGTTTGAGACTTGTACTGTACTTTCTAACTGCTTAACTTTATTGCCTTCCCTCCAAGAAACTTGCTTCCTTTAAATTATGAATGAAACTGCAGATTTATTTAAATTCTTTGTGCCTTATATCATAAATTATAAATTTATTTAAAGTTCTTTACCCAGTAATGTTTTAATAAAAATTGAAGACCAACAAGACATGTTTCAATAATCATTGCCTTAATAACTAGGAGAGTAAAAGGGACAGATCTACCATTCTATTGACTAAAAACTTTTTAAGACAAAATTATATTTTAATGAAGGTCAGAACAATAAAACTCTAATTATTCAAATTATGTTTTAATTGCAGAAGTGAACAACATATTGCAAATATATATTTGACTTGCTGATTCCACCAATGGCAAAAGAACTTTGAAAGCTACAAATGTTTTATGTGAATGAGTTCCCAAAAAGCAATTTTGCTATAAGACTAAACAATTATAAATAGAATTATAAAGTCCTAATTCACAAATACACGATTGTGTTTTAAGGTCCTTCAGTTGGTCTTAAAATTGATAATGTAAAAATAAAAATTGTTCACACATAAAAATGCACATCATTGACAAGGCAATGGTGCAGGTTCAAGTGAAGAATGCAAAGAGGAGAAAGTCGGTTCATGGGTCACTGCGACACCCACATCACAAGGATAGCAAGGACCTCATGGAGCTCACTGATGATTCTAGGGCAATTCACAGCTTCCAATCACAATCGCATGATAAGCAACACAGAACTGATTCAGCATTCCTACATCAATGTATCTTCTCTCCTGATAATCACTGGAAAGTTAAGACACCGTGCCAGCTGCATAGCTGAAATGGAAACACAAATAGCTGCTATCAGGGTGTTGGAGACACCACAGAATGAATTATCTATTTCCCTAATGGTTACCCACATGCCATCAATAATGAAAATGTGTGTATTAATAGTCCTATGGGACAAATGAACAGTAACCCTCTAAGGAGGTGGTGGAGGTCAACTGAGTGGTTTAGAGAGCATTATGTACCTGCAAAAGTAGATACCTCAAAAATTATACTACGTAGCAACTTAGTAACATTTTGTGCTTGCTTTCTTAGGAAAACTAAAATGTCAGATTTTGTTACTAAGCAAAGCATTCATAATTTGCTCTGAGATTATAATATCTGCAAGTAGGAAGATGGTAAGCAATAAGAAAAACCACAAGTCTCTAAATGTAAATACTGACGTTAGGTTAGGTTGATAGTGAAATTCAGGAATTCTGCAACTTATAAATGGGTAATGTTTTAAAATTTAATCTATGAACTAGAGGGATAAGCCTTGGAATTTATTTTTTCGTATGAAACCAATGCTACAAAAAAAGCTGGATTCTCTGGCTAGCTTGTAAATGCATGCATTTCACATCCTGGAAATACTATACCCTTGCAAGGGATTTCAGCAGAATGTACTATTTTAGGAATTAAGACCTTTATGAAACAACAACATAAAATGTAATATCGTATCATGAAGTCTGTCATTTGAAGAAAAATCCTTAATTGAAAAAAAAAAGAACTAGAACGTTTTTAAAAATCTACTCCAAAATAGGGTATTTACAGGCTCCAACTTTTAGTCAACTAAACAAGAATTAGAACTTGGAATCTCTGAGTAATGGTTAAATGAGTTCTAAGTTCATGAAAACGGAGAAACAGAAATAAATTCTCTCGAGATAAGTGACAACAGAGGTACAACCAGAGAAAAATGTGAGGTCCAACAGTTTCCTGTGCCTAAACTAGGTCATATTGTTGGCCCGGGACGACTGAGTTGAGTAAATCCTCATACTCGGACAATAAGGGGACTACAGCATACCTGGAAAGAGAGCTGTGAGCCCAGCGCTCCCTGAAGGCACAAGGTGCAGAAGCTGGCTTGTCCTCACGGTTCCACACAGACTATCAGGAGTGTGCAGTGGAAGGAGTGGGTGTTTTGGGGTGTGGTCTGTCAATAGCTAGGTAACTTTTGCCAACTCAACTTAAATATGTGTTTCCTTGTATGTAAAAGGAAGATGAAACATCTAAGTCAAATACTGCTGAGATCAAATATAGCAGTGTTAATAAATGCAGCTACTTCTATTTAAACAAATTTAAACCATTTTATTACCTACTAGAGCTGGGTAAGTAAAAGTACGCACAACTAGGAGTCCTGCTAGATTTGAATTTAATACTGGAAATGACTCGTTGAAGACTGTGCCACCTGCACACAGAAAATAAGACAATGCCTCATTTTTCTGTCAAAATCAGCTCAGGTGGTAGATTCTCTAGCTCTCCTTGGGCCACTACTGCCAACATTCTCCATTCTGCAGGTGGTGTAAACTCTGATGGTGAGACTTACGGCCGGTGTGAGCAGGTTTATTATACTATGTGAATTCCTTGCTGACAGAGACTTCATCCTGCTGAACTCTGCAGCAGACATTGCTATGTACTAAAAATACATAGCGAGCCCCTACTAACAATGATTGACTGGTTGATGAGCTAAGCAGGATAATATGACACAAAACATCAGACGGACACATTCTACTCTCATGCAGTAGAATGAAATTCAGTATTTTAGTCAAAGATGTGACCAATCTAAGCATGCAGAAAAATAACTTATTAATCTACGACAAAAGGGAGGAGGATCGATGAAAACTTGGATCCCGCACTCGCCTTTCTCTTCGGTCGCTATTACTTAGGACGCACAGGTCAAGAGCTGCTGAACGGAAAGACTTATTTCTGGTCGTTATCTTGGCCAATCACACTAGTATGCACTTTGCTTAAGATGAACGATGACAGACATTTACAGCAAAAGTGGCTTCCCCTGTGTAGGCTGCCCCCAGATTTCTTAGAAGCCCCAGAACTTCTTGCAGAGGCACTGGCAGGAGGAGCTCGTCGCCGACGGCGGGGGAGCACACCTGCGCCGCGACCTGGCGGCGCTGGGCGAGCCCTCTGCGCTCCGGCGCGGGCGGGCGCCGGGCGGGCGAGTCCAGGGTCCGGCGTGCGCACCTCCCGGCCCTGAGCCGACGGCGGGGGCCTGCGCCGCTAGCGCCGCGGTCCCGCTGCACTTACTCAGGCTTGCTGGCAGGTTGCGAGGTCGGCCGCGGGCACGAAACCGAGCGCCGCGCAGCAGCGTCGCCCGGCGCCGCTTCCGTCGCTCCTCATCGTCCTCCTCGAGCCGAAGGGCCGCCGCCGTCGCCACGGTCTAGCCCGGAGATCCAGCGGCGCGGCTCTTGGCGGCTCCACTTCCGGCCAGCGCTCGAGTGTCGCCGGCAAATGTCCCCGCCGGCTCCCACATAACCTGCTCTCCGCCGTCCTCCCGGCTGGGAACCGGGCCGCCCTTCCGAGCATGCGCGGAAACCGCGGGCCGAGAGGCTCACGACGGTGGCCGACAGGGTAAAGATACCTCAGCGCCTCCTTGCGGCCAAGGTTGCGTGGATAACGCTCGCGCGTTTCACAACCCTGGGCCTCGCGAAAGGCGCTCGCGATCACCCCTCCCCCCCCTCACCCCGCAAAGGCCCATCAGACCTTGACCCCGGGGACTCCACGGCATCGCCTTTCTTTGTTTTGACAAAGAAATCCTGTCTGCCCATGGGGTTGTTAGGGTCCCCCTTCTGACCCCAAGAGCGGAGTGGCAGGGCAGAGGCAGGCCTGAATCGTGCACACTGGGAGGGTTCTTCAAAGGAAAAGAGGATTTATTTTTTCCAAGTTCCATAAAGCACAAGCCTGCGGGAACGTGTTAGGTCGCGTAGGTCATTGCTGCAGGTGGATCAGCATTGCACCCATGCAAGGAGCTGGTTTACCCCGGTTTACCTGTCTGCCTTGCTTTCCCCCAGGGCCAGTCCCATTCTGTAAGCTCTATTTTATATATAAAGAGGATATCTCCTAAGTTATTGTTTTTTGTTACGCAACAGGGGCCTTCCAAGAAACTGAGGCGACACAAGACACCCCCCAATACCCCCGTTCAAATCCCGATTCTTGCAACCAAATCAGATTTTAGACCTGTTGACCGGAGTAACAGGAATGGGGAAGGCCACACTCAAAGGAGGGAGTGGGTCCTCTCAGATGAGAGAGGGATGCCCTGCTTCTCCTGCACCTCAGATTTGGAAATCCCTGCGAAATTTCCAGAGAATCCCACCTGAGATCCACCTCTTGACTTTTAACAGCAGGGGGACATAAGACTCCCAAGTCCGCACTGTCATAGTAACTCTAGGTCACTTTGGCCCGTGCTGACTCCAGTTGGATTCTTAACCATACATTCTTACAGATTTTATGGTTAGGAGGAACTACCCTTTCTCCCAGAGTTTCAGGATCTGGTCACAAAAGACTCCCGGGTTCTTCCAACAACATTATCTTGGGCCTGCATTTCTCTTGCAGTTAACAGGTAGTTTGCAAAGGAATGTGACATATCTTGTCCCATTAGGCCAGGCAGGGCTAGGTGAATTGACTCTTGAAAAGAAATCATGTGGGGGTCCACACCGTGAGCCCATTTTAAAGAATTATTCTCTTAACCTCATGTCCTCACGATGCTCATCTGTTTGTCTCCTGACAGTTTGGTTGGTTTTAACAAATGTATCTTGCTACTAGATGAAAAGCTCCAGGAAAGTCTTAAAGTATGACTTACATAAATAAATTAACAGTCACAGCAACTCTAAAAGATACTATGAGAAATACAATTACCTGTCCAAAGGCAAAGAATGGATTAATATACACAAGACAAGAGTGAAGGTTTACTTTAATGATGGTCTTGCAAGATCGGGGTGCCTGTGGTCAGGATGCACAAACTGAGCATTACCAGTATTTTATGCCCTAGAACTCAAGATCCTGCCTTTGGTTCCTCATTGGCAGAGTACTAAGGGGTGTTTTACTGTCTCCTAATGGGTTATTTAAAGAAATCTACCTTTAGTTGTCCCCATCTTCCTTTGTTCTCTTGTGGCTGAAAGTCTCCTTGGATTGAGCACCTTTTGACACACTTTATCTCAGGTCAGCCCTTGCTTCTCACTTCCTGTTGGTGAAGGGTCTATAAATTTGTACATTCCAGTGTTAACTGCTTTTAACTTCTTATTCTGCTGTACTTGAAGCTGCCTATTTTATATCCCAAGTCATTTCAAATTTAAGGCTAAATACTGTATTCTGAAAATGGAACCCTGGACTTTTTAGTGTGTGTGTGTGGTGGTGGGGATTGGACCCAGGGCCTTGTGCATGTGAGACAAGGACTCTACCAACTGAGCAATATCCCCAGCCTCTGGGCTTTTAATTTCTCACAATACTTTGTAGAAAAACCTTGGTTCTCTTTGAACCAGGCAGCAAAAATCACACCACAAATTGGGGACTGGGCTTAGAATCAATTTCTGGTTTGTCTAGCTAGGTAATTCATGGTTCTCATTTCAATAATACAATTACTGTAAATACTGAACAAGACAAGTAGACAGACAAGAGCTCTTGCATGTGACCAGCAAATGGAACCTCTTCTAATTTAACATTGCTGGGTGTTTTCCAATGTAAATTGATACTTAAGTTGAATAGTCGGGGTGGGGGAATTATTGACAGAACAGTATCGTGTGGCTTTACAACATCACAGATGATTCCTGACAAATATCCAGTAATTCCAGTAAACTAAACATACAAAGAAAGTAACAACGTTGCTAACATGGAAGAAGCCATAGGATCTAGGTCCATTTCAAACTAGCACTGTGAACTAAGTTAAGTCAGAGTTTTGTAAAATGAGGATTTTGTACATTAGATAATCCCACATGGTAGTTAAAACATTTTAGAATTATTATCAGAGCCCACTGCAGCAAAATCTCACTTTGATTTTAAATCAATATTATTTTATCCTAAAAGGAAATAATTCTAAGAGTTTCTCCCCCCACCTGTTATAGATAATTTCTCATTCTCCAAGGCGAAAGAGGAGAGATGACTGCAAAATTTCAATGCAAAGCAGCAGTTCCTGCAACATAAGGACTGAGTTTGTTTTTGTTCCTCAATACTAGATATCTAGCACCTCAATACTGGATATCTAGCACATGTACTATATCATAGCAGGTGCTTAATGACGGAATCCACAGTTGCAGGTAGTAGGCTAATTGCAAAGACCACTTTGAGTTCCCAGTCACAACCCCGGGCAATCGCTCTCAGGTCCCCTCTCCCCAGGCCAAACAGGGGTTGGGGGGGGTGGGGGCTTTTCGAACGCCACTGCGCCTGCGCGCGCCGGCCTCTGACGCGACGGCTGGTCCTCGCGTTTGCACTGCGCCTGCGCGGCTCGCAACTGCAAGTGTTGTTCTTGCGGGCGGGATTTCCGGTCTGGTGTCAGGTCCCGGCTCTGGACGTCCGGTAGGAGGGCGGCGAGCGCAGGTGAGGCTTCCGCGGCGGTGGGCGCGGTCGGGTCGAGGTCTGGGCGCGGCGGCCTACGGCCGGAGCCCCTATTCCTTTGTGCGTTTAGGGCGGTGCGGAGCCGCCCGTGCCAGCGGCTGGACCTGGGGGGTGCGCCCGGCCAGACTGCGTGGGCGCCGGGCTCCTGGGTCCCGCGCTGGGGCTGGGCTCGGAACGGGCGGAGGGCTGCTGCAGACTGCGCAGCGGGGCCGCCTGCAGAGGCTGCCGGCCTGCAGGGAGTCGGCCCTGGCGCGCCTGCACTCGGCTGCGCGCACCTGGGGGTCCCGGATCCTCGGCCGCTAGTTTCTTCTCATTGAGATTCGCCCAGAGTGTCGCCAAGTGCCAGGGCAGGTGCGCTGGCTCCGCGAGTCCTCTGTCTCGGAGGGCAGCAGCTGGTCCGGGGCTGCACAGGGGACTTCAATTGTGCTGCCACTTCCTCTTTTTCCAATAAAACAGCGCTTGAACATCTTCTATGATCACTAATTAAAACGGACCCTGGTTTTGCTGTGGCATCTCGCAGCAGCCGGATGCATTCGTTGTGTTAATTACTGCTTCCAGTCTCTTGAAAGCTTCACTTTATTACTGTTAAAACTGAAGCATCCTCCTCCCCCCACCCATTCTTATTTGCTCAATATTGCACTATTAGATTTTAAATGTTGTGAGGATCGGTAAACATTAAAGTACTGACAGTTTCAAGGATTTCCTAATAGGGCACTGGGTTGAGCACGTATGTAAAAATGATCTGATTTCATCCCCCTTCTAATTTCCAAAGGTTTTTTAAATTTAAATTTTTTTTTTATTTTTAAACTTCATTGTACTCTTAAGCTGAAACTTTAAGAAATTGTCCCATATTAATCACACAGCTATAGTCCACGTTTGAGTATTTGTTAGACTCCAGAACTGAGCATAACAACAAAGCTTTTTTGTCTCATTGCAAATGGAAAGAATTAGCTAAAAAGCTCAGAATCCAAAAAATAAAATTAGAGTGCATATAAAAGAAAATTGAGATCCAGATATTTGACTTTTTATGCAATGGCAATAAGCAAAAATTGTCTATTCTTTTTATAGTAATTTTGTAATTTCATTACCTGTACATATAGTTATTTTAAGATACATGTGTATTCACACCATTACCTAAATTTTGTCATTTTGTAAAGTAATTGAAGTCTTGAATGAAATTTTGACTTTGAGACCATGTGGCATTTACAAACAGATCTATAAAAACTATATCAATGTTTGAATATTCAGAGAAGTATTTCTTAATAAAGTTAATCTTATATATATATTACATAAATTATAGATGCAGCATGTGTGCTGTAGTATATCCACTTGAGAGAACCAGGTGGTACAGTCAGTTATGCAAACCACAGTATGAAAGGGAAGGCAGTTACTATAATCAAAGTCTGAGGAAAGTGGTCTGTCCTGGGCTTATCTCTTGATCTAAACTGCTTAGTAGAAGTGGGGCTTGCTTTGTCAAAAATTAGACTGAGAGGGGCATGTTTTTTCTCTGCAGGCTGCCCAGTGGCAGCTGTGAACCATTGCCAGTGCCATCAGAACGAGGCTGTACCCCACCAGTGGGTTGGTGTGTACATATGTGATCAGCACGACTTTCCCAGGAACCAACTGTAGGGGTTTAGTAAGTGACAGGCAAACAAAGCTACTATGGGTTTGCCACTGGTAGCTGAAATTACAACATGGTTTCTGGCCTGTAGAGATGGTGTGTATCTGTTTTGTGTGCTGAAGTGGGGAATCCCATGGCTTTTACTCTAGAGTAGAGCTCTTTACTTCATAAAAAGCCTCTGGTTCCACTGCATGCTGGTGTGCCAGACAGGATCTGAGATGACAAGAGAAGCTGTGATCTCGAGAGAAGCTGTAGAGCACTCATTTTACTTGAAGTCTATTTTGGAAAAAAATAGCTTATTTTAATTAAGCCTTAATTAAAATAGCTCTGATATATTATA